CGGAGTCGCAATTCTTCTCGCCTCTCACCGCGGACCACGGCACGCACGTATGCCATGGACTCGCTCATACCGCATCCCAACAAGACATCTCGACGAAGTTTCCCCATCGTGCTAACGAGCCATACCCAGTGGGCGTCTTATCGCCCACGACGATCAATGTTCTCAGGCGGAACGGCGCCTAATCTACACGCACCATCCTCATGGCCTGCCTAATCATGGGCTCTCAAGGCTTCGCCCAAGGCTCGACGCTCGTCGAGTTACCTTGGAGCGTCTGCTGGCGCAGATCCTAGGCAGCGGTCGTCCGCGGACACGACCACCAATACACCCGCGACTGCCTACACTCCGACTCATCCATCGTTCATCAGCCCGACCGCGGGCGCACGCTCTCCCACGTGAAGATTTGCTGAGACCAGGGGCGCCCCCTGTGCACGATGACTAGTGCGGACGACGGCGGCGGAGGCAGCAAGTACGCAAGATGGATCCCCAGTCCGTCGCCTGCGGGCTCTCGGGATTCGATGATGCCAAGTATCGTCGGAAGCTTAAAAGTGGACGTGGACATTGCAGCCCTGCTCGGGCAGGATGCAGCTGACGGTGCGTGACTCTCCTTCCAAACGGAATAGTTGTACATTACTCTGACGTCGGGCTTATATATATAGCTCTCCTCGATCGTACTGCCGAAAGCTCAGAGCGTGTCATCCCTCAGTCCTCCCGCACGCAAGCCCATGCGTACCCAAACACCAAGTCGAGCCACGCCAGTATATCCACTGCACATAAAGCTGCGACGTGGTTACCGATCGCGAGGTCGGCTTCCAGCGGACCCGCCGCCGCTTCACCTCTTGACCTCTTCCCGAGCGTGGAGGACGCAAGCTCGGACTCGGATCCCTCATCATCATCCCCTTCTGTGGCAGCACCCGCGCCTTCAGCGCCTGTACCCCTTCCCATACCAGCAGAGACTCTCGAACCCGAAGAAGCGTGGAAAGGCCGCCTTCGATACCAGATCGAACGCAGCATGCAGGGCATGGTCGACGAAGTCCGCGCCGAATACGAGTCTCGCCTCGCGTCCGTCGCCTCGTCCTCTTCCTCAACGTCGCCCTTCTCCGCCACCCACGCCTCGCAACGCGCGGCCGCCAAAGCGGAGTACGACGCCGCGATGGCGAACATCGTTCGCTCCGCGCAGTCCCAGTTTGACCTCGCGCTCGAGCGCGAGCGCCAGGAGCGGCGCTGGGCCGCCGGGGGTGAAGTCGACGCCGAATGGCAGGCGCACTTGGTGGCCGAGCAGCAGGCGATCAGGGATCTGATCGCGCGCGAGAATCAGGGGCCTCAGGCTGGAAAGGAAGAACAAACTCGAGCAGGAGGATCGGGAGCGAAGCCGGGGCCGTCGAGGACCTTCCAACGCCCACACGACAAGGTGCCGTGGTCGAGCAACAGCGCGATCCGTGCCCGCACGCTGTCGAATCCAGATCCGAGGGCTCTGGATGGCTTGCTTCGGGCACCACCAGCACAGCTATCATCGAGCAGTTCCGGTGCTCGAGGGACTGACTTGTGGATGCCGGGAGGGATGCCTTCTGAGCCGATGACTACGCGACGGCCTGCATCAGCGCAGCCCGCTGCGCCAGTGTCTAAGCCGCCATCGAACTCGAACATCAAAGGCATGTGGGGTCACGACGTCATTTACGGTACGTTTTCTGTCTTCTGCACCTTCTCGCACGCGCTGACGTTCCGTCGCATGTAGAGCATAACGAAGACTCGGAGCAGTCTGACGAAGGCGAGTCAGAATCCGAGCTCTCCGAGCCCTTCCCTGGGGATATGAGCGAAGGCCAGTCAGACGCGTACGCTGGCAAGCGCCCACTTGCCCGCCCTCAGGTGGAGGACGAGAAGCAGTGGCGTCGTGCAGACGTTCCCTCCCGCTCGCAGACCGCCGCACAGTACTCCCGCAATGGCTTCGTACCTTCAAGCGCGGGTGGTAGGCCTCCTCTAGTGGCACCCACTCCCTCCCGGATATCGTCGACTGCTCAGGGAAGGCAGCAACAATCTCTGCTTAGCGCAAGCAGACCTATTCCCACCCCGTCGGGCAAGCCGAGTCCCAGCCCGCTTCCAGGAATGGGTACCAGCCCGTACTCGGGAGCACTCCACAGCCCTGCACCTAGACGGTCGGTAGCACCAGGCGCGCCCGCGTTCAACGCAAACTCGGCTCAACAGCCTACTCCAGGGCCAGGCAACAGTGCCTCGTCATCATTCCCGAGGAAAACGCCTTCGATGGAACAGCAGCCACGGTGGATACCGCAGGGTCGACCGACGTCACGATCCAGAGCCGGTTCTTACGGCAACGCAGGGAATCCGAGTCCCAGCCCGGGTGGCGGAGATCCGAGGCTCTACGCTCATGATCCCGCTGTTACTGAGAATCGGCCGGGGTCGGGTACACCTGGCGCGCGGCCGTGGATCCGGGGCCAGGGGTTAGGCGCGAAGTCGACAAATGCGATGCATCAGACAAACCGGTCGAGCAGCCGGTCAGGGCGAGGGCCCAGCGCGCGCCCGGCGGACGGGGAGGACGACGGCTACGACGGCGCCCTGGGTGATATAATGGAGCTCGAGTTCGTTCGAGAGCTGGAGTGGAGGGAGCAGCAGGTGAAGCAGAAGGAGGAAGAGCTGCGGACGCTGGAGACGGAGCTGCGGCGAAAGGTGGAGGCGGCGAAGCGGTGGGAAGAGGATGCGCGGATCCGTGAGGAGAACGCGAGGCTGGGCGAGGAGGAGGTCAAGCGGAAACAGGCCGAGTTGAAGCAGAGGGAGGAGGACCTGGGCCGGAGGGAAGCGATGGCGCTCCAACAAGAGGAATATCGACTGTTGGAGGAGGAGAACAGGCGTCGCGCGGCGGAGATGCAGGAGCGGGAACGGAAGAGGATGCAAGATAGTATGAGCCCCGCTCCTCCGCCAAGATCGACATCGGCGATGGCTTCTGCCTCAATGACAGCGAGCGCACCCTGGTCAACCTTCTCGCCTACGTCATCGTCGTCTACGGCCGCTGCAACGCGCGCTGTTACTTCTCCGCCTCCGCGAGCCGACGCCACCGGACTCGCGGGGACCTCATCTCCCCCACCTACACAGGGTGCTCGCAGTCGCGGCGGCAGTGCGTCGAGCGCGCGCAAGTCGGCATGGAGCACGTGGACATCGCAGCCCTCGACGTTGAATCGCACTACTACGCCCATGCTGCCCACCGCTCCGACCAATCGAACCTATACAAGTTCGCCGAGCTGGAACAAGGCCGGCACTTCGCGCGCCTACTCCCATGCAACAACGCCGACGCCGCAGCCTACCGCAAACGCGATGTCGGGCCGATGATTGCCCTGACCATTGCGTCCAAAAGAATGTCATGTTTTTGTGAGTACCTTTGTTCCTTGTTTCGGTGCTCTTGAGTCCTAAGACCAACCTGACGTTGTGCAGACCTGCGGCGGCAAATCATCGAACGCGGCCAACGGGAGAGGTGACGTGAATTCTGCAGAACACAGATGTCCAGGAAACATGATCTGTAGTTTCGACATTGCTGTTCACGCTGTCCGCACGCATGTGCCGACGTGTTTTGGTGTATATGACGATCCTGGAAAAACTCGAAATGTCGAGGCCAGTGAACCGGCAATGACTCATTCTCCCAGGACACAGTGAAGTTGCTGCAAGCCGCGGACCGGGAGATTATTCAGCAAGGCACCCCTGCGATGAATCGAAGGTACATATAAAACGCGCGCGTTTCTCCATCAGGACTCCTCGGATTTTTGACAGTCTCTTGACATGATTCATCTTCACGATTGAACTAGCACAGCGTTCAACAATCCTGAGTCGAGTTGGTCAGACCGACCATCCGTTAAGTTCAACGTGCGCATCTTGATTAGCCTGAATTCCAGCAATGTTGGCGAATGACTCTCTTGTACAGATCGTCACTGCACGCGATGCTGAACCTGGACCCGGAAGATGTCTGAGGTCCATCCAGCCTGTTTATGCATATGCCGCTCGCTCGAGGCTGTAGAGCGGCTCTGAGCTCGATTTGCACACGTTCGAAGAGGCCGAAGCCGAATATGTACGTGTATGAGTCGCACCTTTGCCAGCTCGTCGCGTCCCACTCGTCCGCTTGTCCACGGGCGTCATCTCGCCGGTACGAGGCCCTGCTATCTATCATCGTCCTCCGCATGGCCCGTCCGAGTTCGAGCACGAACGCCAGGCCTAGCGCCGCCACGCCGCCATATCAGGTCTTCGAAGGCCGCCATGGGGCTGAGATCGGTGCTGAAGTCAAAAGCAAAGCCTTACTCACCGTTGCTCACTTTCCCCCTCGCTCCTGTCAGCCCTCGGCTTGAAAATTCTATTCTCGTCGCGCTCTACGACCTCTACCACACAACAATGGCTGCACCCGCAAATCACGTCGATGTCGACTCACCTGAGCACTTACAGACCCTCCTCATCGCCGACCTTGACCGACTGTCGGTCATCTTGAACTCCTGGGGGCTGTGAGCAGCGCACGCTGCGCGCAAATGAACGCTGTACGCCTCGATCTTGCTAACGAATACGAGCGAGTCCTCTTTCTCAAGGTACGTGCCATTTCCCCCACCTTGTACTCCCTCACACATTCTCACATCTCACATCTCACAGGTCGAAGCGGAGCAGCAAGCCGACGTCGACGCTGTCCCATCCTTCATCGTCCTCCGCGGGCACACCCTCCTCGCCTGCATCGCCGGCGCCGAGGCGCCCGCCGTCCAGACGCACTCCCACAAGCCCGGCTTTACACCTCAATCCACGACAGGTCAAGCGCCCCCGCCTCTATCACACGCCGACGACAAGAGCCCGGAAGAGCTTGAGCAGCGACTGCGGTGCGTCCTCTCACTCGCGATGTTTTCCGGACCTTATCTGGTTCAACTTGCTAGAAAACTAATGGGACAGGACAATATCGTGATTTTCATGAAAGGCCTGCTCGATGCACCCCGTTGCGGTTCCTTCAGACGTGCAGTCGCCCTCCTCCGCGACAAGCATGCCGTCTTCGCCAGCTATGACATACTCTCCGACGACAGCGTCCGTAGCGAGGAATATCATCCTCTGTCTTCCTCCCCACGAACTGATGAAGGGAAGAAAAGGGCTGAACGCTCAACAATGTGCCTATGTTGCCAAGTTCGTCGACGATGGCAAGTTCGTCGGTGGCCTCGACGTCGCCACGGAGATGGTCGAGAACGACGAGTGGGCAGAGGTCGCCGGTGAGAAGGCGTGAGCCGACGACAGGCCGTTTGTGTCTTGACTTGATTGGGTGGAGCGGAGGATAACCTACAGGCGCGTGGTCCTCGACTATACGATAGGTGAGCGATATTCAACTGTTCTTGACGTCTTCGGTCACGAATACCATTTCCATCATTGTATCCTTAAACGCAAAACAGGGTGTTATACTCAAGGACCCTGCGCTTGTACCGATGATCCTTATTGCTCTCCAGTGCTCGCGGGAACAGAGGCGTGATGGACGGCGTCGGGACCATCCGGAGTTGCTTACCTGCATTAACCGAAGGCGGACATGAAACACGACGGGTTCCAAAGAGCCTTCCAAGTTTGTGGATCAGTTTCAGTCATGCAGGTCGTATCACTAGGCTCGCCCATATTCTATCTGGGAGCGAGCCACGTCGGACGTCTGTCATCGGTAATAAATACGGACACGCCTACGTCGGGACAGACGTGATCGAATAGAACTAGGTCCCGAGTCGTGCGGGACACGGGACGTCCTGCCCTTGGTGCGAACCACCTCATCTCATTCCGGCATGGTGAGTTACGGATATATATCACGCTCCTCGCTTTGCATATCATCCCGATGTCCCGTAGGTATCGGATTGTTACATCGTGCATTGGGAGGCGACCAAAGTGGCGTTCATTACTCCGTTTAAGGCTAGCCTATGCCAGATCACCTCGCCGCGAGTACTATCAATGACTGGCGGCCACTGGCGTTCGAAACCTAGTGTCACACACAAGCAACTGGCGGCCACTGGTGTCCGAAACCTAGTGACAGCGGCCTTATGCGTGGGCACTTATAAGGCTGGCGCATCCGATATTCGCCCCCATCCTTTTGCATACCCTTGGCAAGTCAGCTCAGGAATCATCCTGCTCGCTTCAGACTCGTCAGCCATAGCAAGCATTCATTCGTCGTTTCTTTGTGCAATCAACTCGTCGTGAGGAAAGTCGTCATCACCAGCGACCCTTCATCTCATTACTCCCTCCTCAGATGGTTTACTTGCTCAAGAAACTCGACGACGGGAACTATGAAGTACAGCAAGACGCGGGCCGCCTTCCCGTAGACGGCATTGCGGCTGGTAAACACTGGCTCAAATTTGATCCAATGCGCTTCAACGGCGAGGATGCTTACCGACGGAAGGCGATCGCGCTGTACACTGAGCTTTCCCCGCCCTTCACCGATGGAGTGACACCATTCATTTTGGATATCAACTCGCTTGACATGGAAGGAGCACACATGTGTACCTCGGGGTTTTACCCAGACGTACACGACAAGACCGCGACTAACAGGGCCGATATCAGGAGGCATCTGATCGTGACGCAGTCTAGTCAGGTTGATATGCTCCCCAATCTTCCATCTTGCTGCCATATCTGATCTCGTTACTTCACACTCAGACTGGCGACATTATTCACGTCGCAGCGGCCCTGCTGCACGACCCTATGACTGACGTTGTCGTGGTATATCCGGATGGGAACCCTGGCATTGCAGGAATTAAGGCCACTGTGAGTCTCCGCTCTGTTGATGTTGCTTGCTCAGTCTCACTCATTCTTTCCAGTACGAGCTGGCTATCGGTGCCGCCGATGCTCTCAATAACTCTTATCAACAGCTCAGAGATCCTGCGGAACGTATCCGAGCCGTCAAGGATGTCGACCCACCTAGCCTAGATGGTATGCAATTGCGCAGCTGGTATGATTGCCTTCGACGAGACACATCCGATACCCCCTTCGGACAAGCTCGAGGGCATATACTCCGATTCGGAGTTCTGCAATACAAGGACAAATTGGCCTACGTACGATCCGATGGTTAGTCCGGGCTGGGCTGTTCTACGAAATTATCATGCTGATTTCTTCTAGATGCCATCCTAGAGTATCCGGTCGGCCCCGTTGGCTGCGCTACCACAATCGTGGGGGGGTTTGCAGAACAATACCTCAAGAGCAAGGGCACGGTGTCGGGGAAGAAGGCTTTCTTGGACAAGAACATTAAAGGCCTGTCGATCACTGAGAATGGCTTCCGCCAGAAAGCCGTCGACTATATTAAGAGTCAGTACTCGCTCGATTTGGGTCCCGGGGCCGGGCGCCAGCGCTATCTTCTCGTATGGTCTCGCTTCAGCGGTGGTTATCCGAACGGATACAACCCGGCCGGCGACTCCAGCGTCCCGGGTCAGAAGCAGCTGATCAAGTTGGGAGACGATCCGAAACGCATCGTGATCACAAGTGAGAACCGTTGTCGAACCTCTGACTGCTGTCTCCGTCTGATTGGCGGTAGTCGGCCACGGCCCATACAACCAAGATTTTCCTGCCGACATGAAAGGTAAGATCCACCTTGGAGAGTTCTGGACCAATCCCACCGGCGACAATCCTTTCACGGCGGCTGGACGGCCGGGACAAGTCACGTTTTATGACCTCCTGAACACAAAGCACGATGTCATCCAGGTGGGGCAGAAGACTGGCGGGATGTGAGTTTCAATTTGGTTTTAGTCGGCTCTTGCAGCTGCGTATGCTGGCCCAGAAAACCGCTGACGAGCTTGGTACCCAAATAGGGACGCCGCCGCGCTGGTCGGCATGCGTACCGTATACATCGAAGCCAAGGATAGTCATGCGATCCAAAGGATGGAGAAGTGGACTAAGACGATGCCATGGTACAAAAGTGCGATCGTTGACAAAGCGCCGACGGCTCTCGGGCGCCTTATCCTAGCAGAATACGCGAAACTTGTGAAGCAGAAGGTCGGTGAACCGGGCAATTTTGCCGAAGCCAACAGACTCGGCAAGGCTACCTACGATGCGACGGCACCTCCAGACATAGGCTACTCGCCAGCCGGAGTCAAGGCCATCGGAGATACGCTGCGCACGTTTTAGGTGGTGCCCGAGCACTGGCAGTGGCCACCTGGAAGTGCCTTGTTTCGACAGCCACAATAATGCATGACTAGTGGATGACTTCCCGTAAGATCTGGAGCGACAGAAACACAGAATAAACAGTTCAAACCCCGATCTGTGGGTTATGCTGTACATTTATGCCCCCGTACGGCCCTGCGCGTGTGGGGCGGAAATAGACATAATAAACGCGGAGATCCGTTGAGAAGGGCTGAGCAGCGAATGAGGAAGGGATAAGGTCACGTGTATGACAAATTCCTGTCTGTAAACGGTCATTTTGGTCTGGAAGGGGGGGTCGACCCCCCCTTCCAGATAAAAGGTCTGTACGAGCGACTTGTAAACCGACAACTTGGCTCGTCGATGCCGATTTTTCGGCATCGCTCGCTTAGTGGATTTGTAAGCGAAATCTATTCTATTCGGCCTTACAGATCCTTACGGGAAGTCACCCAGTCTATGTTTAGTCGGTACTCATGACATCACCTTCACTTTCTCTCCAGCCGAGCCTACCGCTTAGTCCTCTATGCTCTCCATGTCTATACCTTAACTCTTTTTGCGTCTATGATGGGGTATTACTCCAACGACTTCGGCCTCTGCGACCTTCTGGGGGCGAAGGTAGGTAGGTAGGTAGGTAGGTAGGTAGGTAGGTAGGTAGGTAGTATTATCTGGCGCGGTCCCTCAAAGGAACACGTGAATCCCATTAGGTCCAATAACTGCAGATGGGCCGCGCGGGAAACGCTTCTGACGTATACTCAAAGTAGCTGTCCTTACATCGATGTGCAGCAAATGCCTACGTTGGCATACATCGACAATAACTAAGATTGATTACGACGTCGTTCGAGGCATATACCGATATACCGGACGGCATCCGTTCAGAGAGATCAGGTTACTGGTGCAGATGGGCGCCGATGACATGTGGTCGTTCATGCAGGGATGTTTGCAGAGGAGCGCCGATGTCCCTCTGTCACAGGAACTGCCTGACGGGCTGCAAGAGCACGGTGGAGCTGAATTGCTGGTCGTTCGTCGAAAGAGATTCAACTGGCTCCAAAGCGCTAGAAGGAGGCCGATGCTCTAAACAAGCCTGATCTTTATATAGGTAATTCATGACCGAGGTCCCTGGGTTTCGCTGATGAATTCTGTGCTGCCGGAGTGGATCGTTGTCCGGTATTCAGACGGTGGGAATAAGAGTCCATTGCCCTGCACTGCGGAAGAGCCGCCTGACAGAGCTCGCAAGAGAATAATTCTTGCTTTTTCCCTAGTAAGCTGCGATAGCTTCAACACCTGACTGCCTGGAATTGGGCGAATATTCGCAGCCTGAGGTCGCCGGATGCGTCGGCGTCAACGGGTTTTGCTAGGAAGGAATCTGCGATCCCCTCATCCAGTGTTATTATGACTGGGGAAATGGTCAAATTCTAGTAGATCGCGTGAATCGGCGTGTTATGGGCAATGGGCACAGGGGTCGGCGCAGAAGGCAAGTCGGCACCAGTTCAGCAAGACCACCGAGGCGCCGCCGTCAGTGCAGCTCGCTCTCGTCCTCGCACCACCTCGTTGATTCCGTTCGCCTTCGCCTGCCCGAGGCTAACCGCATTCCGTCGCCTCGCGCCGTATGTTGTCAGAAGGAGAGATATCAGAGTCCAGCATGTTCGTCGTGGGAAGAAAGCGATTGCTCTGGTCCTGCTCTGCCGGATCAGCCATTGTGCCTGCTCATCGTCTACTTCATCCTCGCCACCACGACGAACAGGGCTATCGACGCTCGTTGCAACATACACAATATACCCAGGATATTCGAATCGAGGTCGCCCACTTGACTGGGGGCAGGTGAGTGGACGATCGCTATCTTCCGCCGGCGTGTTCTCCTTCTGACGCGTGTGCGGACATGAGGCAGCTCGAATTCGCGTCCCGCTTTGCTCTCGCTCCCTCCAGCCCAGGCAGCGCACGATATCGTCCGCGCGAGGCGTCCAGCGTTCTGCCCTCGACATTCTCTCCTCATCGCACCGTCCATCGCGCACACGCGCCCCGTCCCTCGTCCCGGGTAGCGCTCTCCACCACCACCACGTCCTCTCCCTGTTGATCGTGCCCCACACGCGACCCGCACGACCCATCGTGGCCGACCCGGCTCCCTCCCGACCCCGATGGCGACCATGACCGCCGCCGCGGTGCCCACCGACCCCGCCCTGGACCCCCCAGACGCCCCCGACCCCGACCCGTCGCCTGATGCCGACCCTCCCCCGGACGACGACGCCGACCCCCCTTCCGCCTCCGCCCCGGATCCCGCATCCACCCCCGCAGCCGCGGACGACCTCGAGCCGGACGAAGCATGGAAAGGCCGGCTCCGCTTCCAGATCGAGCGCAGCATGCACGCGATGGTCGAAGGGGCCCGGAACGAGTACGAGTCGCGCCTCGCCGCCCTCGCCGCGTCCTCCTCCCCCTCCGGCCCCGGCTCCCCGTCCACCGCCTCCCAGCGCGCGATCGCCAAGGCCGACTTCGACGCCGCGATGGCCAACATCATGCGCGCGGCGCAGTCCCAGTTCGACCTCGCGCTCGAGCGCGAGCGCCAGGAGCGCCGGTGGGCCGCCGGCGGCGAGGTCGACGCCCAGTGGCAGGCGCAGCTGATCGCCGAGCAGCAGGCGATCATGGACGCCATCGAGCGCGAGAAGCGCCAGCTGCAGCTCGGCCGCCCCGAGCAACCTCGACAGCAGCAGCAGCAGCAAGACCACGCGGGAGGCGGTGGTACGGGCAGAGGGCGGCCGCGGTACCAGACGATCGCGGACCGCCCCCCGCCGCAGGTGCTCGGCACCCGCCCGCGGGAGAAGGTGGCGTGGTTCAGCGGCAATAATAGGTCGAGCGTCTCGTCGGACGAGGGCTCCTTCTCTGGCTCGTACGGCGGTCCTCACCAGCGCGTGAGGCAGTTCTCGAACGACTTTGGCCCCGGAAGACCGCCGAACGGGCGTTCGCCCAGCCGTCCGCCCCAGCCCACGACACCCGTGAACGCGACCGGACGCCCGCGCGGTGCGAGCATCGAAAGCCAACAGAGCTACTCGAGCGCAGATCGACGACGGCAGTCGGTCGGCAGCGACGCGGGCTCGCACCGCAGCTTCGAGGGCCCAGGATCGGCGCGGCGCCCGTCGGTGGGCGAACACTCCTCCGGACCGCATCCGCACTCGCCCCATCCTCACGGGCCCGGGCCGAGACCGTACGGAAGCGACGAGCGCGAGCGGCGGACGCGCACCGCGTCCAACGCGAGCAACAGGAGCGCGAGCGTCAAGCCGGAGATTTGGCTCCCGAGCACGTCGCCCAGCGAGCCGCTCACGTCGCGCACGCTCGCGCAGGCGCAGGCGGCGATGCCGCCCTCGTCCGCGAGCGGACCGGGGCTCGGCGCGGGCAACATCAGAGGCGTGCGGGAACACGACGCGATTTCCGGTGCGTTTCATTTTTTCCGCGTTTTCCTCCCCGTTCGCTCTCTCCGTTACGACGCCGTGGGGGCTCACGACGCGTTCGATTCCTCTCGCAGAGCGCACGGAAGATTCTGAACGTTCGGACCCGGGCAACTCGGAATCGGACCGATCGGGCTCGTACACCGACACCGACTCTGAACACGAACGCGAGCACCCGTCCGACGGCGAGGATAACGGATACTACGGCTCCTACCCCGACAACGCGCGCATGCATCAGGAACACGTGCAGCGCCGCGAGGCCGAGAGTCAGTGGCGCGCACACGCGCGCGGACTCTCCCGCTCGCAGACGGTCACGCAACACCCTCGCTATTCGCCCGTCACCCCCACCGCGGGCGGCCCGTCGATGGACGACGACGACATGGGTGATGGCAGACCGTGGCGGGGGCCCACCCGTGCTCGCTCGCTAGCGCGCTCGCAGACGATGACGCAGCATCCGCGGAATGCGCCCCCCGCGCAAAGCCCATCCGCGGCGGGACCTCATGGACCGCCGCCTCCGCCGCCGCCCCCGGCCCCTCCCACGCCCTCCGCCTTGTCCGCGTCGAGGTTCCAGTCGTCGCTGAGCGCGAGCAGGCCGCGCAGCATCGGCGCCTCGTCGGACGAGCCCAGCCCGAGTTCCATGCCGGGCACAAGCCCGAACCCGCGACAGTTTTACGCGCCCCCGCCGCAGTCGCAGCGATCGCCCATGCCTGAAGGCTGGGGCGGACCCCCCGCGACGACACCTTCGCCCGTGTCGCCCTTTGGCGCCGCGGAGGACGGCCGATCGCAGCGGACGATATCGAAGGGCAGCATGCGGGCTCGGAGGTCGACGCCCGATTTTCATAATTTCAGCAACAACAATCCACAGCAGCAGCAGCAGCAGCAGCAGCAGCAACCCGGACTCAACTTCAACCCGAGCTCGAACCCGAACAACGGCAACTACAACGGGGCTTACAGCAACAACGGGCCGTACACGCCGACGGGCTACGGACCGCAATATACCCCGACGTCAGAGCAGCACGCTCCCCAGTGGCCGCCGCAAGGGCGGCCGATCGTGCGCAAGCGCTCGGACGTTGGGTTCGACGGAGGCGCCTGGGATCCGAGTCCGAGCCCGAGCGGCGGAGGGAGGCGGTTTTATGGCCCCGAGCCGCCGATCCCTGAGGATCGGCCGGTGTCGGGGTCCCCTGGCGCACGGACGTGGGGCGCGGGCACGCGGTCGTCGAGCTTGAGGGGCCGGACGTCGACGGCGAACATGCGGGGGAACCAAGGTGGAGGTGGCAGGGCGCGGAGGAAGTCGAACGCGCAGCTGTCGGACTCGGAGGACGAGGACTATGGCGGGATCATGGGCGGGATATTGGACCTGGAGATCAACCAGGATTTGGAGTGGAGGGAGCAGCAGGCGAAACAGAAGGAGGAGGAGCTGAAGGTGCTCGAGGAGCAGGCGCGGTTGAAGGCGGAGGAGGCGAATCGGCGTGCGGAGGAGGCGGCGAAGCAGGCGGCGGAGGCGAAGAAGAGGGAGGAGGAGGCGCGGAGGCGGGCAGAGGAGGTGAGGAAGAAGGAGGCGGAGATGAAGAGGAAGGAGAAGGAGGCGAAGGAGCGTGAGCAGGCGGCGAGGAGATTGGAGGCAGAGTTGAAGCGGAAGGAGGAGGAGGCGAAGAGGCGAGACGAGGAGGCAAGGAAGAGGGAGGAGGAGGCCAGGCGACGGGAGGAGGAAGCGAAGCAGAAAGAGGAGGAGATCAAGCTGAAGGAGCGCGAGTTGAGGGAGAGGGAGGAGAGCCTGGATCGCAGGGAAGCGATGGCGCTTCAGCAGGAGGAGTACAGGATGATGGAGGAGGAGAATAGGCGCCATTTGGAGATGCAGGAGCGCGAGCGGAGGAGAAGGCAGGATAGCCTCGGTAGTGAACCGCGGCCGATACCGGCGATGGCGTCCGCTTCGGCTGCTGCTAGTGCGCCATGGTCGTCCTCCCCGCCAACATCCTCGTCACCCACGACCTCGAGAGCCAGCGCAGCGGCGACCCCTCGCGCTCAGCAATCCACGCCTGCACCCCGAGCTCCTGCTACGCCTCATCCTCCGCCACCGCCAAGTGCTGGTGATCGTAGCAGCACTGCATCCAGCGCGAGCAACTCGTCGGCGTGGAGCAACTGGACCTCGCAAACCTCGACGTCGAGCCGCACGAGTGCATCAGGTGCAAGTACCACTACACCTGTAACACCCACCGCCCCGCCTCACCGCGCTCACGCGGGGACTCCGAGCGGGACCAGAGCGAGCCACGCACATCCGCACCCGTCGACGCCGACACCGCAGGCAGGCAACGCAGCGTCGATGTCGGAAGAGGAATGGGCAAGGCGGCAAGAGGAGTACGCGCGGAAGCAGCAGGAAGCGTTCAAGCGCGCACAGGAGCAGGAGCAGCGTCAGCGCGAGGCGAAACAGAACCGGGCGATGTCGACGGACGAGGTGCTCTCGCTGTTCGAGAAGCACGACGAGCAGTGGGCGATCGTGCGCTCAGCGCCCAAGCTTCGATGGGACACCTTCCCGTGGCCAATCTTCAAGCGCGCGCGTACGCCGGAGGACATCACGACGAATGCCGTTGGGGCGTACGTGCTGAGCCCGTTGCACCCGCGCGACCGGGAGAAGAGCAACAAGGACCGGATCAAGGACCACATCAAGCGTTGGCATCCTGACCGGTTCGAAACGCAGCTCCTGCCTAAGGTCAACGAGGAGGAGCAAGAGAAGGTCAAGGAGGGCGCGGGGAGCGTGGCGAGAGCTCTGAGCGATCTATTGACGAGGCAGAACTCGTCGTCAAGAGATTGGATGGATTAAGGGTATTCATGAGGGTTGAAACGAGAGAAATTGGAAGGAGTAAGTCTCTTATGCAATTTACATTCGTTATGTGTGCTGACCTTATGATTCACAGCTTCAATCATTTGTGTATTCTATTCATTCATTCTACCTATGTGTCTTCATTGCTGTATGACTATGCAAGACAAACAACCAATATATCATATCCGGGCGCCTGTACCCCACCCCTTTGCTTTTACACTCCGTGCTCATACATTCTGAGGTCAATATGCAAAGCACAGGGTGCACGCTCGCCCTCGGTTACAGACTGGGCAAAGTCCATCCAAACTGCCTCAAGAACATGACGACCAATAAATCAAGCAATCCAACAAATTGTACATTTACATATACGTGGCGCTCAAGCGGCCGACGATGTACTGCTCGGTCGTCACCGGGTCGTACTTTTTCGGCGTCTTCTCGTTCCAGCAGTTCGGGAGGCACTCAATGTTCGCGCCTTGGTTCGGGTTGCAGAAGAAGGCAATGCTTTGTCTTCTCGGGGTGACACCGACGCTCTCGTCTTCGACGTCGGAGATCGGTTTCGCGGGTGGGGCGACGACGCGATGCAGGGTCGAGCGGAGGATGTCGTTGGACCAGCGCGCGAGGAGATCTCCGGCGTTAACCACGATCGTGCCAGGCTATTGACGAAGATGATTAGCCCGAAGAATGGCGTAACTAGGATTTTGGGGAACGCACGATGGGAGGGGCTGGTTGGAACTGTTGGGTATGCGGGTTCTGCACCTCAAGTCCGCCGACGGAGTCTTGGAAGAGCAGGGTCAGGGTTCCATAGTCTGTGGGACGGCACGGACAACGTCAAGACCCGATCGATGTAGCCAGCAGTAGAAAGGTGTTCGCAAGGCGCACCTGAGTGGGCACCAGCCCGCGCTTGCCCTTCTTTTCGCAGAAGTGATGTGCGCACAGGCGGGTAGTTTAGGAGGCGCAGGTTGTGGTATTGCTCGTGAATCTTGTCATCGAAGAAGGTTTCGTCCAGGCCCAGGCCTAGGGCAATGGAACGCATCACCAAGGTGTGAAGGTCGTGACACGTCTGCGTACATCCATCGTCAATGTCGCGTTGACCACGCCTGCATCGCATGGCATGATACCTGGAAAAAATGGAGCATGGTCTCCTTGAAGCCTGGGGCATCTGCTTCCTGGGGCCAGTGGTTCTTCCAAGTCTTATCCCAATCGCGGCCGATTTCCATCGTCTCTTTGGTATCAGGTGCTTTCTTCCGCATCTCGGCGATCTCGTACGCGTCGGCGGATTGAGTGACACGTTCCCTTCCAATGGCGACGTAGCCTCGATTGGCGCGAGGATCTGAGCCCCATATTTGAGCGACTAGGTTCTTTACGGTTGGACTGCATTGTAAGAACGTACCTTTCCATGCTAAGGTGTCCTGTTCAGGCCAAAGACATATAAGGAGTTAAGTCGCGTGCTAGTACTAGCGGTTGCGAGCAGTACATCACCTTCACTTCATTCGGGAGCGCGAAGAATTGTGCTGACTAGAAGCGACGGAGTAGGTGCGGATTCAGACCTTCCTCACGAGCTGACGCTGGTGACCCACCTTATCGTACACGTTTTTCACGACTGTGTCGGGTATACCATGGTTCTAACCGTACGCACCGTTAGTTCCCTTCTCATTAGGACGCGTGCCATCTTAGCAGCAGTCTGGACCGGAACTTACATTTAAATATATGAATCCAACCTCCTTAAAGCCATTGACGACCTCATCTGCCGTCGCCTGCTTTTCCGCCTGTGACTTCGCAGACCTGAAGCGGCCGAAGTCGATGAGAGGAATCCTGAACGTCGAGTCTGATCGGGCGTCCTGGGCAAGGGTCGCGAGAGCGCGTCCAACATTACGACCAGGTATTCTGAGTGAAGTAGAGCGTCTGCTCGTCGTAGCACGTAAAGCGAGCACAGCCGAGCGTACACCGATCATTGCGAGTCCAATATCAAGGTGCGCGACGGACGAGCGGCGGCGACGAACTCCTTGACGGCGGACAAGTCGGCCAAAGACAGGAGGACACCGCCACATGGCTATCATGTCGGCCTTTGCCGAGAGGCACGTGGGACGGTACGAAAGTGCTGCGACGGCTAGCCCGGCCGGCTTGAACCTCCTTGACGCCGCGCTTGGCTCTCGTCTGCACGCTCAATCGCTTGTTTGAACGTTGACGTCGGTGCTCAAGTGTCTTTCATCCGTATACCGGGGGCCAATGCGCAACGGAGTTTACACCTCGACGTACTGAGATGTTCTTGGGACGTGTCCGCAATGAATCATCGGGCGGCCTCATCTACTGATCATTTAGAGGATTGTCGTACTCACGGAAAGTCAAAGGCGCGCATAAAGAGATGCATGACTTCCAGCGTCGATATGAAGCTTCTTCACCGCAGCGTACTACCGGAGTACGGGCCGATATCGACCCTTGCGGCGTTAGAAGAGGGAGTTTACCCTATGCATTGCCTTACTCAGGACTGTCTGGCTAGAACAGCCAGAATTATGTACTACGGTGCGTGCTATTCTTCCACGTCGTGCCGCAGACGCGCTGGGTCTGCCAATGCGAAGAATGGCTTTGATGTGAGGACTCATCCCGAGTGCATACTCTTCCCCATGCACCGGGCTCGATTCAGCTCCGATCCTTTCTGCACAGTCCGCAGTATCTTGGGATATACTGTGCTCATTCAAACCTGTGTGTTCATGAGCGCCGTCGATCCAGCTTCGTATCACAAGCTCCCTTCCACCGTGACGGAGTCTGAGCGCAGATCGCCCGAAGTAATTCTTCAAGAGCTCACACCCCGTCATAGGCGGCTCCTCGGCAAACTCGAAATGCGAGCTGCGCTACGTAACCATCATTCGTCTCTACGGCCTTTGTAACACTGAGATTCCGTCAGCAACCGGGAAAAGCCTCAACGGCTACTGATGGCATCCGTCACGGGTGGACGATTCGGATTGAATGCGGCTTCCACTACCCCAGTTCCGTGGGTGAGCCAGTCCATCTCCTTCCCTGAGAGCGCAGTCGAAGGGCCGGGAAATCACAACTGATTAACTTCATGGGAAAAGGAAGAGGTTACCGAGCGTGTCCACAGAGGGACGTACCATCGCAGGTGTATACGAATGCTGCTGGTTGTATGCCATATTGTCACTCGTCCGCAGTCGATGGCTCGCGCGTGTCGTTGCATCACCCATGCACGCTTCCAAACGTTTCTGAATATATTACGATGTAGATGATGACTTCCCGACCATATGTCTGTATTTTGCTCTCGCCGAGGTGTGAACCCGGTCTTCCGGATTGTTCGTGCGGTAAGGCAGCCGGAACGCGAACTTGAACAACTCGGGGATTTTCTAGCATGTCTCGACCGCAGACGCGTTGCGTTCCGCGGCAAACGTAAAGTGACCTTGAAACTGCCGCACTGTCAGTCAACGGCATGCACTCGCTAGTACGTGGACCCTTCGTCCCATAAGCGGCATGATCGGGTACGCGATCCTCATGGTTCAATAAGTGCCTCAGCCCAGCTGGCGCAAAGCAACCTCAATAATGTGAGGTAGGCGATGTTTGCACTCCCGAAGGACGCGTAATATAACGAAATTGGGGTCGCCACAAAGGAAGACGAGCGCTTGTCGTCTATCGAGATTAATGCGCGATCGCCACGTTATCGGCGACCATCGATTTCACTCACGTCGTGGTAGGTTTGTGGTCAAGACGCGTAAATCTGGCCAGCTCTACTTGGCTGCTGCGCTCGTCGAAGAAGAGCTAGCTCTGACAGAGAGTCCGCGTGCAGTTCATGTTGCTCTGTCCGTTTTGGCTTTCATTCTCGGAAATTAAGTGTGCGTGGAGGCACTGCTCTACAGCTTCGTCTTCAATCGGCGGAGAACGCACATTTATCAGATGGACTGAGAAGATGCACCTCCTGGTGTGTATCAGCGCTTTAGCGCTCGACTTGTCGAGCATCAGAACGGCGCCAAACGTGCCGCTAATGTAAGTCATTCGGCATCCTGGCGGTCTTAGGTTCGTCGGATCTTCCTCCGCCGCTCAAGTTGAACACGAAAGGATATTGTGCGCTGTATGAGTCGGTACCCTGTGATAGGCCAGATAGTAGTCGGCCGTAGTCAACCTCCGATCGCTTCATAAGGTTGGTTATGTCGATACGGGACAGTCCTGTTCGGGAAGTGTCGCACTCATTCAAGGGAGAGGCCGAGCATATGCCGCTCATGTTGTGAAATACGTCTGTCACACTTCCTTCTAACGAAGAGACTGGTCTAAAATCATGCGTGGCATCGACGCGGCTCCAACAAAGTGAAGATCAAGTCCTGTGAATCACAGCTCTACCGCTCTCTCAGACGGCGCCCGACGGAAGTCACGGTGATTTGAGCGGTCCCGCCTTGGAGTACGTCAAGGTTGTTTCGTTCCCCAAGCGCAGAATGTTGGTGACAGTTCATCGGTTCAGCAGATTGGAACAGGCTCACGAGAGCCTGAGATAAGAACCAGGAAGCGTCGTCGAGGTTTTCCAGAAATGCAGATGAGTTCAGAAGAAGGCGGGAGAGAAGTGCTCCTCGGGCGCCACGCAGCTACGAGACGCATGTCAGTTCTTCGGCTGAGAGATGATGCGTGCTGCCTAACGTAGAAAGTTCCTTGCATTGGGGTTTCTTCTTCGTTATGGTATACGCATCGGCAGATGAGACGTGAAAGGGCCAAGTCTGAATGTACTGAGAAGATTTTCAGCCGGTTCACAACTACGCGATAGAATCGCTGTGAATTATAAGTCGTCGGTTATCTCACCTATGTGTTGATTTGCCGGCCATACACACGTTATCAAATCTCTGCATGACTTGCTCGACTTGTTGAGGCTAGTGCACCACCAGCCCTAATACCCAATCAGACTGGAGGAATAACGAAAACTGGATGACCAGGGTCGATATATTCGAGATCACGATGAGAATCTGGTGTAGCCTGATCATGACGTCTTGAATCGTACATGTGTTGATGTGCTGCGTATCCTGATAGCTCTTGATAATGAATGCCTCCCAAGTGCCGATGGTGTCCGAAGGCTCGCGTACGGAGACTCAGCTTGGTGTGAGATCGCATGCAGCTTTCGACGCAGACACCTGTCGATATAAGGTGATACTAGACTCCCCTTTTCCGAGATCGGTCGTCGAGTTCAAGTTCGAAATCGCTGATCGGGCTGATCAAGCCACGTTGCAGGCCTTGTGGCGCGCGTACCCCGGTCGTGTCGTGCCCCATTACCCGTTGCATACCTTCGTTGCCTTGATCGAGGTTCTCCTTGGTACCTTGGATGATCAGGGACCATGCCGGCTTGTCGGGCAATGACTGGAGGCATGCAGCGTCGGACGCGTGTCCGGACCCGGGATTTCCCACGCATCGCTTTTCACTCGCCGCCTTTCGTTATGTCGAGTCTCGACCGATGAACTCTGGCGAGGGACGAGGTTAAACGCGCACCGTGCAAGCTCCAGGTGCTGGTGCGCTCTGACCTGCACCACATTGAAGAGGCAAGGGACGCATGCTCGACTTAGGACGGGCTGGGCTATCTACTCGTACCATATGGGCCTGGGGTTGTGCCCCACCCTCGGATTGGTATTCTGGATGAACTAATGTGGACCGAAGCAATCTCCCTAGGCTTTGTAGGTACCCCGCATCGGGGCTAGAGCCTGGTCTAGGCTATAGCTCCAATGCGCTCGTATGCTAGAAAATGGGCCCAAATGCCATTTTTTTTTTTTGGGGGGGGGGAGGGAAGAGATGCTCGTGCGGTCTCCTCCGGCAATGTAGCATCCCAGTTGCAGTCGTTGGCCGTCAGACCCGTCGTGGCGCACCGTGAAGTCGGCTTGAACTCCGCTGTATACATGCATACGCAGTGCATTTGTGCGCAGAGTACGCGCTACCAAAGCAGATACGCGTATATACCGTATACCCGAGACCACGTCACCTCACCGCAGATCGCAGCGTGCAGTGCATAATTCAGAGATGTGATTGCCAAGCGCATGCGCAGTCAACCGTTTGGTCGTCCCCACGCATCCTCAATCGGAAACAGCGCTCTAACGCCACGAAGACGAGGAGACAGAAGATTCAGCGCTGCACTTCTTCCTGTCATCGCGGCAATGTGTTCCTTCTTTCTCTGCTCTGCAGGCGGTCATGCCATCAACATGGGTTAGTAGTAGCCTACCATCGTCGCGGCCGTCTCCTCGTCAATGTCGAATTATGGTATTTGATAGAACTTGAACGCAGGATGGGGAGAACCCCTGACGTCATGCACCCAACGTATCCTCTGTTCTTCCCAGCTGCGAGCTATTCTGCCGAAATTTGACCGAGGGTCTTCTCGTATTGGGAAATCAAACGGCGAGGGAAGGTCAGACAAAGGAGAAGGGCGGCGATATAGATTAATGATATACAAGAGAAGGGAAAACCGTTAGCATCGTATGTTCGTCGCCGGTACGAGTGCCGGAGCTACGAAGGAATTTCAGTCCTACCCCAGTCATGGCTGAAGGGATTGAACGTGTATGTTCTAGTGGGTGGTAAGGCAAGGTTCAATAGTGTGGAACGTGGTCTTCATAGCGGGTCAGCATACGTGCCCCCGTCATGTTGCTCGCCACGAACCGGTTGAGTTAACGTTGCCCGTACGTGTGCCCGTCAAAAGCCATATGCTATTCAATAGTCAGCCTTATACAGCAAGAGACGCATCTGGGTTTCGTACGCCCACGAATGCCTTGCCGCGAGTGGTAAGGAAGCCCCGAAGCAAAGGAGTCGACGAAGAGAAGTCTTGGGTGCTTTCGTACCGATTTGGGCGTCCCATTGTGCGCGACGTATTGACTAGCTCTTGACCTCGCCTCGGAAATGCGAGCGGCGTTCACGACCCTGTTACAGTCCAAACATGCGTAACGTTGCGTGTTGAAAGGACCCGAGAGAGCTGCTTCGACTTCGCTTTGTTGTTGCTTGCGTCACTCGCCGGAGACGAGACAAGAGGACGAAGCGACCGGCATGTGATTACGCGACGCAACATGGATTCGGCGCAGGACAAGACGAGAGGGGAGCGTACACACACTTTGTATGCAAGGTCGACGACGATCGTGGGCCCGCATCTTCTACGTGTGCAAGCCGTGAGTGCTCCAGTAAATGGGATCGGGAGATCGACCACTGGGACCGCTGCGAGGCGGCCGCCAGATCCACATTCGTGGGGCGTAGAGAAAAGAAGCAGAGCAGACGGGCCGTGAGTATTGCCCTCGGCCTCGGCGCTACGCAGCTCTACAGTAAGTAGCTGCAGTCAGTACGGGACTTACGCGATCGCGCCCGTCGTGATGTGAGAGCGTATGCCGAGAATCGCGGCATAAGCACTCACGATCCTGGGTCTCACGCGGAGCAATTACTCTGTCAAAATTCGTGCAGACGGGACGAAAGCGCAACAGCGAAGGCAAGCGAGAGAGAGAGAGAGAGGTCGTCGGCCGCGGGAGACAACGATGAAGCTCGGGAAAGACAGATTGGTGAGCGGGGTGCGCTCATATTGGGCCGTCGGTGGGCGCACCGGAGCGGAGGCCACGAGTGGCGGTGCCAGTTCTTGGGCGGAGGAGGTCGCCTCGCTGGCTCCCTTGCTTCCGCTTCCGAGGGCGACGAGGGGTCGACCTCCTTCGTCGTTTTTTCGTAGTCAAAATCCTATTTACATTCAATTACGATGCCCCCATGGCTCGAGCGACCGCCGCTGTTCAACAAGCGGTTGTCATCCCTGTGCAAGAAAGAACTACAGAGCCTGGCATCACACCTGGGGCTCGACCAAGACGGCACGGTTGCTGCTCTCAAGGCCAGAGCACGGCAAACCCTTCTAGGCGACATCAGATTCTACATGCAGCACCCCGACTACAGAGCCCTGTTTACGAGACAGGAACTCGCCGACATAATCGAAGAGGCGTCGAACTCTTCGGGCTCCCCATTCCACGGCATCACACAGGGGGCGGAAGCGGCTCGGGACGAGAACCAACCAGATGAAGGGGATGAGCAGGTGGATCCGGAGCAGGAGAATCGGGTCCGGGATGAGTCGTCAAGTCGAGAGGAGGAAGACGACGAGGAGGATGCTCAGCCCCCTCCACCGTCAGACGACTTGGGTGAGCGACCGCTTCCTCCACTAGTCGAGGGCATATGCCCATCCTTCGCCGACTCGTAGACGACCATATGGTCGTCGACGACTCCCTGCCGAGTTGCATATGCAACAAGGTTGGCCATAGGGCCTCTTCGGCCTCCGACCATAGGGTCGGAGCCGGTCGCCATATGGCATCAATCAATCTGCGTAGCCATAGGGCATACGGCTGATACTCACACAGGTGGCTCGACTCCCCCGACCCCACCCATGTCCCCAACCCCTTCTGGGCGCGGCGACCTCACCCCTCAAAGGCACGGTTCGATGCACCAGGCCGGGAGGGGCGCCAGCGGTTCAGGGCCGGAACCCGATGGGCAACCGGCCAGGCATCACCACCGGAAGCGGACTCGCGAGCGTTCACCCCCCAGGAGGCGCCGCTCTCACCGCACGTCCCCAGAGAGGAAGAGAAGACGACGCGACTCTTCTCCCGGGTCATACGACCGAGCGCAGAGCGATGAGGAAGAGGGCTCGAGATCCCGCCCTAGGAGACGACACGCCCGGTCCCCGTCATCCTCAAGTAGTTCGTCACAAGGGTCGCGGCCGTCTTCGAGGGGTTCGTCCGGGCAAAGCCACGGACGCAGGTCTTCGAGGAGCCCATCGTCAGGGTCCTCATCGTCCACCCATCGGTCGAGGACGACGCACGCACGTCGCCACGCCCCGCGCAGAAGTCACTCGCGGAATCGGCGCTCGAGGTCAGAGCGGCACATACACCGTGTGCAAGAGACGACCAAAGGTCCGCGTCGCCCGCAACTCGTCAGGGGAAAGCAGGCGAAAGCCGACTGCT